GCCTGATAATGCCTACCAAATTTATGCAGGGATTTGATGCAACTATTATTAGGTAATATTTATATTGTGGGAATGCTAAGAGGCTGCGGCTACGATTGGTGCCCCACTGTGGAAGGTGAGGTGCAAGCACAGAGGAAGACGGGGTTTCTGCCTTGGAGAGGTTATAATCTAAAAAGGGCCTGATGCTGCCAACATTTAGGCACGTGAATTACTTGTATGCACGTCAGTAATCTCATTGAGTTCATTTACAGAAAGTGTTTGCAGGATCTGGTGTAACACACCCGTAAAGGCGGGAAGGGTGTGGGAAGCAATCACAATGAACACATATAAATCTTCATTTCCTTTTTTTGCATTATCTCAGTGTTTCCTAACCCATTGTTGTTGTTTTTTTTCACCCGGCTCAGTGTTTAGTGGAACCCGTTCTGGCAAAAATAAGGCAGATTGTTGCCCTGCCTTAAAACCGGTTAGCTGCCCTCTGTATGACATTGTGACCCCGTTAGCTTGAGATCACAGACTTTCATTTTCTTTTCATAAACGTTTACTTCCCTATTTGACAGTCCTCCTCGCTGCCTCTCACCAGTCGCTGTATTGGCAATGCCAGGCATTCATAAAACATGAGTCAGGCGCTGAGAATGAGGTTGACTAGAAAATCATGAGACTTAGAAAAAAAACAACACACCCATCATAATAGACTCCTCTTGATTTACCTTCTGTTTTCTGAACCTCTACAGCGTGTTCAGATCAAGTCTTTCAGCTTTGGTTTGCAACCATGAGGGCTGGAAATAATTCAGCAGAATTATATCATGCAACGTATTGATCCCAATGACCGGTTCCTTAGGAACTGTATGAGTAATAAAATCCTGAGCATGGACTGAAATTGGTCAATGCCCTATAGGCAGGACTTTTAAATATGGGTTTAGAGGGAGGATCTGGAGGAGGAGAATGCAGGTAAAGGCTTTTAAAAAGAAGTCCTGGATTTCTGTGATAGTAGGAACAGGGCCTTAGTCTTTAAATGTGTACTTTTGTGAGGGACCTAACAAATGAATAACAATAGTTAAAATAATTTTCTGTCTTCATCTGAACAATGCACTCTGAGTCCTTTCTCAGGCCACATCCTTTCTAATACACTTCCCCAGACATTGCATGCCTGGCATTGGCAAGCATCCCTCTGAACAAAAAAAAATATTTGTAATGCTGCTTATTTTTATTACACTTCTACTTCCTTCTACAGGGGACTGGGTGGAAAGGGGCTTAGAGAGGAGAAGCCATACATTTCAGATAGTAAATTGTAGCTCAGTATGTTTCTTTCAAAAAGCAACTGTGTAGATATTTTTTCCAGGGAATCAGGCCCAGTGTTTGTTTCTGTTCGATCTATAGAATTATACTAGCCATTATTGCAATCGTATTATATTTATATCAATATAATAATATGGTTCACTAAAACAGAAAGATTTCGCTCCACCCTAGAGATCGTAATCCCGTTAATCTAGTTAATCTGTTGGTGTAAACCACAAGATCCTATCTGAATGGGCCCAAATCATATTGACTTTAGTTTTACATGTGGATAGCTTGACACACATGCTGTTTGCGCTGATTGAAGTTATTCATATCTGCTCCGCCGTGGCTGTTTCACGCCTGTATTTGTTAACCCCATGCAAGAGTGAGTCATTGCTGAGAAACACATGCGAGCAGGGCTGTGTTCGGTGGTAGAATAATCAGCCTTCCTGTTGCCAAGGAGTTAATTATCTGAAATTAGACAGAGATGCATGTTGTCCTGAGGGAGTTGCAATACATTTGAAATGCATTACAATTATCTGGTAAAGACTAATGGCATCTTTTGGAAATTCCTACCATTTATCATTAAACGGGCTGAATTCTGTGCGAGGCTGAGCTAAAACGTCATCCCGTAGGATCCTGCATCAAAAGGCATGCAATTTGCTTTGCTTGTGGTCTGATGGGTGTCGGGGCCCTTTTGAGAATACTTCGCTATTGAAGTGCTCTCCGCTGGGGCGTATCAAACGGTAGGGTGCATTTCACAAATCCTTTTGTAAATCTCCGAGGAAGACTTTGAGGGGCTTTTTGTTTTGTCTTGTTTTTTTTTTCTTGAGAATTCCTTCAACAGCCACATTTCAGCCTTAGCGAACCTGCCACGCTGTTATTTCTGCTTCCCTGCAGTACGTATGCACATGCCATCTAACCTGTCTCCCAGGGACACAGATTGGCATGGAGAAAGCCCCCAGAGCTTTCCTGTTGTCTTTTGCTAATCTCCCTTTCCTATATGTTTATTCCCTTTTAATTAGCATAATTCCAGTTAGAGCAAGAAGGCATTATCAAAGAGGGAAGATTTGCAGCATACCCTCAAGATGCTCAGGTTGTATTGGTCCGATTCCCCATCCAAGCTGGTGGGGAGTGTCTGAATCCCACGGGTGAATCTCCTCTCCTGAAAATGCTCTGCTCCACTGCAGAGCACGCATCTGGGCAGTGAATTCAGAAGTCCACCCGTGCACCCTTTTGCTTGGAAGAGC